TTTCTCCTGCTCAGCCAGGCCCTCCCCAGGCTCCCTGGGCCCCCAGCGGCAGGACAGGGATCTGCACACAAGGGGGCGCCCAAGTCTGTGTCAGTTTAAGTGTCCTCATTTTTAATCTCCAGTGGTCTCCAGGACATAACAACTGGTTGCTAGGTTCTGGGCAAATCCCCAAATATATAGGTCGCCTGTGTCCCCCCTTGGGATGGAAACTTAGATTCCAGGGTCCCTGTAATTTGTTTCTGCCTCTGCTTCCAAGGACGAAAGCCCCTCCTCCTGGGAATCACCTGACATTCTCCATCCTTTGGAGGAGGGGAGGGGCCTAGGAGAGCCCCCAGGGCACTGGCTAGGAAGATGGGGAGACTCCTGGAAAGAGAGCAGAGGATGGAAATGGGGGCTTAGGGGACAGAGGTGGAAAGGGGTGCAGTGGGGAGCCAGAGAGGACCCAGCAGAGAAGGGGCAGCATAGGGGACGCTTTGGGGGGAAGGGGGAAGGTCGGTGTGGGTGACATGGACTCTCACTGCGGGGCCGGGAGCATCTGTCTCCCCTGGGGGATGCAGCAGTGCTGGCCTGTAACTGCCCAGGGAACTGCGCACATCTGGGGCACACACACGCACACACACACACACACACACACATGCTGCTGAAGGAGAAGACTATAACAGGGGGCCCCCAGGGGAGGATCTGGGTTCCTGCCCAACCCAAGGAGGGTGGAGCTGAGCAGGGAGAGGAAGCTGGAAGGAGGCTGAGGAAGGAAGGAAGCAGGATGGAGCCAGAAGGAGACCTGGAAGAGGCACGTGGAGCAGAGAGACACATGAAGAAGCTGCACTTGCTTCTTGTCCTTTTGTTTAGGGGGAAAGTGATGTCCTAAAGCTAATTCCATACAGGCTTTGTGGACTCCACCCCCACTCCAGACCAAAGCCAAAAGACACTGGGAACTCCAAATCCCATCACCACCCCAAAGGAATCTGAGGGTGGGGTTAAGCAGCCAGGTTTGGTATAAAACCAGACATGTGGGCTTTGGAGCTCCCCCATCTTGGCTCTCCGCCAGCTCGCAGCTCAGCCAGCTCTGAGAGTGCCTTTGGGTTTCCAGGTCGGCGGATCGGGTAGGATTAAAGACTTTATTTCCCTATTTTCTCCCTGAGTTGTACATTTCCTCAATTCCCTTTCCCTTGTAAATAAACCTTTTATTAACCTTTTGTGTGTGCCTGCAGTGGAGTATTAATAAGTCCCTTTTAAGCGCACAGGTGAGGACCCACAGCCAGGCAACCTGTTTTATATCGGGGCTGCTCTGTAACATTTGGAACTAGGTGAAACAGACGTGGGTGAGAAATCCATGTGGAGGTGACAATGGCAGCTTTCATCTTGATTTTGCTCTTTTCCTTCCAGTCTTGTCAGCCCCGCCCACCCTTTTCTATGGGTCCTGCCGGGAGGTGCTTTAGACTGTGACAGGCTTTCAGGCCCTGCTTGGGCCAACCCTGTTTGGCTGAACATTTACCCACAAGGGGATGGTGACTTTGGTGCTTGATTTGGAAACTTTATTCTTTCCTTTTTCTTTGCTGTACACTAATTGTAGTTAAGATCCTTTCCATTAAAGGTCTTACATATTTTGTCTTGATGCGGGGGATGGCAAAGAGATGGGGGAGATAGATGGTTAAGGGGAGTCCCCCTCCTTATCCAGAACATCCCCACTCAGCTCCCGAATGCTGGGGTGTCAGGGAGATTCAGGGAGCCAAGATGAGGGCAGAGCAAGGCCTGTGCTGCCCTGGAGGACCAGCCCTGGGGGCTGATTCTGGGGCTCCAGGGCCCCACTCCCTGCAGGCAGGGCAGAGTCAGCCCCGCTCACAGCTCCAGGCTGCTGACAGCCCCTCTGTGCTGTGACCCTGCAGACACTGCTCTGGAGACAGTGTGAAAAATAAATGAACAGCAAAATTAAGTGGAATCTGAAAACAGTAGAAATAATTTTTTTAAAATCACGTTTATTTTGAAGGACACTTCAGGGGATGTGGAATTCTCATCTTGTTATAGGACAGGGAGAGGGGCAGCCCAAACCCCGCAAACCTGCCTATTCTACATGGGTTCTGCCATCCGCCGCATCAACACAAAACACATGAGACTTTAATGGGAAAGAACTTTAATAAAGCTAGGAAACAATACAGGTAAGGCAAAGAGTCTAGTTTTTAAATGAAGCACCCAAAGTTACCCATCCCCTCGTGGGTAAAACTCCATCCAAATGGGATTGGCCCAGAACAAGGCCCCAAAGCCTGCTATAAGTCTAAAGCATCTTCCAGTGGGGACCCACAGAAAAGGGTCACAAACAACTGGACAAGCCCGGAAGGAAAAGAGCAAAATCAACATCAAGATAAAAGCTGCCATTGTCACCTCCCCACGGGTGTCACCCACATCTGTGTCACCCAGTCCACGACCAAAAGACAAGCACAGTTTCTTCACGTGTCTCTAGGCTCCATGTGCCTCCTCCAGGTCTCCTGGCTCCATCCTGCTTCCTTCCTCAGTCTCTTCTGCAGCTTCTCCTCTTCCTGCTCAGCTCCACCCTTCCTTGGGTGGGGCAGGGAACCTGGAACCTCCCCCTTTCCTGGGGACCACCCTGTTACAATCTGACAGCTCATTACTATCAAGACTTGACTGTGACATGAGCTACTCTGGTCTCTGGTGTTTCTTGCGAGAAAACAGCCACTGATCACTTTATCGCTTAATTTTTGAATGGTTTATACCAAATCATTTCATACTTTCCACCTAATACAAAGATCTGGCATCTGGCACAGTCTCTGAGGGGGAGGCATGAAGAGGGGCCTCACTCAGAAGCTCCAGCTCTGGGTCCCACGAGGCAGCGATGGGACGAGATGTTGGCGGCTCTGAATGGCCGTGATCAGCGTGAAAGGACCTGCCTCAGAGCTCCTGCATGTGGCTCCTGGAGAAAACCCTCAGGTCCTTGTCCTGTGGGCGTCCCCTTAGCTGAGGGTCCACCGTGTGCAGGGAGTCACCCCAGAGAGGGACCAGGAGGGGAACCGGGGCGGGAAGTCTCAGCCCCTGTGAGCCTGACTCTGACGTGGCGCGTTCCTTCTGCTTTATTCTCCTCACGAGGAAGAGCCAGCAAGTCAGACACACTCACAGGGGGAAGTGTCTACTCTCTTGTGTATCACAGAATTGGTGGAAAATTGAAAACCAACACAATCCACCTTCTTGAAACAAATTATTTCCATTCTGCCCACATGAAAAATAAGCTGCCTCCCACTCAAGGCCCCTAAAAGTCTCTTCCATCACAGAAACAGCGTGACGTCAGCATCTCATCACGTGACTCAGGACCACGCACAGGAAGCTCCTTGAGAGCATCTGTGCAGTGAAGCCTTCTGTGCTCAGCTCCTCATGGGCTGAGGCAGTTTCCTGCCCCACAAGCCCTCGATGAGGATACAGTGGAGGACAGACACAGGATAACTTGCAGACACATTTTTAAATATGTTTCTAAAGGAATTTGAGATATAACTTATGACCATCGAGTCACTTGTTGACGGCTCAACCTCTCATGTCCTTTTGGTAAGCACAAAACAGGGCAACCATCATGTACTCTATCTTGTGAACATCTCCGTCACCACAACAACCTTGTTTCCTGGGCCTGGGCCCATGGGCACCACCCCTACCTTTCCCTCCCCAGCTCTGGGCAGCCAAGAGCCCACTCTCTGCCTCTGGGGACAGACTGGGGAACTTCTCTCTAAACACATCCCAGGTGACTCTGCCCTTCAGACCTGCAGTTGGGCATTTGGGGTCCCCTAGCCCAACACATACTGGTGCCCAGGAACATACTCCACTGGGTGTTAAGGTCACAGAGAACCACATTACCCCACCCTGGAGGCCCTGCAGCCTGGGGTGTGTGAGGAGAGAAGGGCTGCAGTAGCTGCCTCAGAGGGGGCCAAGGGTAGAGCCAGGGAGGTTACTTCCTCTGCAGGAAGGGGACATGGGAGCTGGGTCTTGAAAACCACATGTGGGCACAGGAACAGAAGTGGCTCAGGGAGCTGATGGAAGGCCGACTACGTGACCTCAGCAGTTACTTTCTGTGTGACCTCAGAGATTCCTCCCCAGCACTCTGTGAATTGGGAAGTGATACTGTCCTGACACCCCTCCCCCATTCCCTTTCAGAAACAAGGACATGGAGACTGGGGGGCTATGTTAGTGCCCAGGTCTGAACCCCAGCCACCTGGCTAATGTCTGGGCCTCCCACCCGACACCATCCTGCAAACTGACCAGGGGACCAAGGTGGCAGTGACCCTGGAGCCCTCACCACCTGCTCCAGATACCACACATTTCTGGGCTGGCTTTGACTAAAGACAAAATGGCAATAGTAGCTCATCATTTAATCACCTTTTTGTAAATGAATTGAACTTACTAAACAAAAAGGCACAGTGCCTGATTGTACCAAAAAATAAAACCCAACTCTATGCCTCTCCAGGAGACCCATTGGAGCTAAGATAACCAACAGGATTGAAAAGTTCTTGGGAAAAAACACAATTTAATAGGGGCATCCCCAAAATTGCAGGGGCTGCTCTATAACATAAAATAAATTTCCAGCTAAAAAAGGTAACAAGAGACAGGGATGACCATCATCTGATTAAGGAATCCTACATCAGGAAGACATAACACTCATCAATACACATGCACAAAACAAAGGAGCAGCAAAATATATAAGGCAACTATTAACAGATCTGAAAACAGATATCAGCAGCAACACAATGGTGGTAAAGAAATTCAAGACCCCACTTTCATCAAGGACACATCACCTGACAGAACTCAGGGAAACTATAGCTTTAAGTGAGGAATTAGACCATGTGGGCTGAATAAATATTCACAGGGCGCTACACTCCAAAAAGCTGAATACATATTCTTGTCAGGTGCACCTGGAATAGTCTCCAGAATACACCATTTGTTTGGTCACACAAGTGTCATAAATTCATGATGGCTTAAATCATATTGCAAGGTTCAGCGCGGTAAAGAAGAGCCAGGCTAAGTTTCTCAAAGATGGGGAAAATTTGTTGTGCGCCCGGGAGAGCTTCACGGACCCAAGGTGGGGGTCAGTAAAGCCGCGCACATTGTCAGGGGGAGGCAGGCTTTTATAGAGTGAGGAGAGGTCAGGTGGGAAATTGGGTTCATAAGGTGGGAAGAACTTTGTAGGGCATGAAAAGATTCATGGGGCAAGTAGAGGTTCTTTGTCTGAGAAGAGACCCATAGGGGGAGGGGGGAGCCTCATTGTCTGAATCCTCCAGGCAGCTTCCGCATTCCTGCCCTCAGGTGGGCTTCGTGGTGGGCTTTTGCATTCAGGCCTCCTGCATGGACCCTTCACCATCACCACCAGAAAGCCACAAGCAGAGCCAGGAATGGAATCTACAGGCACTTTCACTTTTCAGATCACTGGCCATTGATCTGAGAGAATGGGGGGCATCGCACCCTGAAGGGCCCGTCTCATCTCCAGCTGGCCTTGTTATAATCAGTTACACACAGACAGTCACAGCAAAGAGCTGTCAGAACAGCCTGTCACAGTTATTGTTCCTGGTATCCAGCATGTTCAGCCTCCAGACTGTTATCAGGTCCCGGCCTCACCCAGACACTACACCATCACAGTCAGTTTGCATGAATTCAACAGGAACAGAAATTATTATGCAGACCTTTTAATTTTGCTTTGTTGGAACTTATAAGAACCCTCAGACTAAGAGCTTCTGAAAGCCAGGAGTCAGGGCTCAGGACCACACCAAGGTCTCACCATCAGATTTGGCCTGCAGTACCTAGATCTTCCAGGAACCCTCTCTTGAGGTTCCCAAGACATCTGGGGTTTCTGGGCCTCACAAGGGGTTATTCTTTACACTCATGACAGACCTTTTGTACCCCTAAAACAAGTGCCAGGTTATTGTTTCCTTGTAGGCTCTGAGATCAGTCTGGTTTCTGAAAACACAACATTCCAGACAAAGCCTTGGTAAAATACCCGTATTTCCAATTATCTATTAAAGAAAAGGGGAAACAGAACTTTATTGGATTTATGAAAACAAACACTTTTTTAAGATATATTTACTTATGTGCAGAAGAGCTGGGGTGAAGGCCAGAGGTGGTGGGGGTTGCAATGGTGAGAGGATTCATCAGAGACAAAGTGGGGAACGGAACAGGCAGATCTACTGAAATACACTGCTGAGGGGAGCACCAGGCACGACAGGAGAGGTCTGCCGCGCCACGGGGGTCAGCTACCTGGCTAGGGATCCAACTCAGGCCATCATGGTGTCTTCCAGGCGTCTCCTTCTACGTCTCTAAGTTCCCAGTTCAAGTGCAAAGCCAAGAAGCAAGGCGGCTTCTCCACACGTTTCTCTCCTGTGTGTCCTCCCGGTGCTCTCTGCTCTGAGAAACCTTCATGTTCTGAGCAAACAGCCCATCAGAACAGCCCGTCACAGCTGACACTCCCAGTGTCCGTCCTGTTCAGCCCCAGAACTTGTCGTCAGCCTCCCGGTTATCCTGACCCTGGTACATCTGAGGGAATCAGTGTCCAGCCTCTTCCTCTTTGGGGCATCAGCAGGGCGGGAATCTCAGTGTCAAACAAGAGCTTTAGTTCAAAGAAGATAGATCATGAGTCATGTAGCGTGTGTGTGCAGCCTGTGTGTGTGCAGATTCCTGTACTAGGTATGGGCCCTTCCTCCCTGGCCCCCTCTCAGAAGGACAGAGCTAAGGTAGCACACAGGGCACTGTCTATGGTTCTCACCCGTGTGCTCAGTTGCAACCACTCAGGCTCAGGGAACAGCAATGAGGTTTCTTTAACAAACAGGAGAGCAGGGAAATAAAGAGTTTCAAAGGCCTCAGTGGCAGCTGTTCACCGCAGATAGTGTCCATAGCATTCAATAGCCCCAAATTAAGGCTGCCGTGCAAGGTGGTACAGTCCTGTCAGGGAGGGCCTGGAGCTGGTGGCACAGCCATAAGCACTGGGCCAGGATCCAACTCACAGTGGCAGCAGGAGGTGCTCCCAGGAGGTGTTCACCTCTGAGGAGACACCCCAGCAGGCACAGCCACAGTCTGAACACTGGGCGGGACAAGAAGGAGGCAACAGCACCAGGAGGTGGTGCCAGCCAGTCAGCAGCAATGACAGGTCTCAAAGGTGACCTTGCTGCTGTACCCCAGTGGGCAACATGCCCTGGGGTGGTGTGGGGGGGAGAGAGAGCGCCTCTGCTTCCAGATTGGCTGCCGCCTTTGTCAAAGACACTGACGGTGGCTGGTGGTAAAGTGCCCCCACATACTGTCACCCACTGCCACTCCCGCTGCAGGTTGCAGTGGACACAGCTGTCAGGGAGGACTGGGCCCTGTCCTCAAGCAGTGGCCTCCTGCAGCCTGCCAGAGCAGGTAGGGTTCCATTCAAACCCAGCTGTGTCCCAAGCTCTCATGCCTAGCCCAGTGAGGTGGCCTCAGCGAAGCTGTCCTGTGGCACCTACTGCAGGGCAGCCTTGGTGCTGCCCAGAAGCAGCTCCTCTGGGGGACAGGGGAGGGGACCCTAAGCCCTAGGGTCTTCTTTGTTTAACCCTGGCTTGCTCTGGGGGAGGGGCCCTCTGAAGACTGCCTGCCCCCTGGCAGGAAACCCCCCTCTGCCACCACTTCTAGAGCTGTGCCCACCAGCTCCCAACTGCACACGCAGGTGCCAGGGCAGGAAACCACCACCGCTGCTGCCAGTGCTTTCAGATTCCTGCTCCCACCTGCTCTGGCAGGCTGCAGGTCTCTGGCTATGCCCACTGGGGTAGCCCCACCAACAAACCCTCATGTCCCACCACTCGGGGCAGGAAAGAGCTGGGTAAGCCACAGGGATCTGGAGTCAGTGTCACACACTATACTATTATATACAAACATACACACATTCACATGTATCTATTAATGCCTTTAGTAAATTTTACTTGAAGATTTCTGTTGTAAATTTGTATCAAATGAGTGAGAAATCCATCCAGGAATAGTGACAGGCCCTTCATATCTCTACTTCACAGTCTGAAATGTTGGGTCGCATCCTGACCCCTCTATCTCACACCCCAGATGTTACATTAGGAAATGCTGTAAAGTCCGTCTCTAAATATAGCTAGCTCCAACGACTTCCTATTATTTTCCTGATCACACCCCATAAAGCTACCAAATTTTCCATCCTAGAATCTGTCCTAGTTTCCTACATTTATCTTCTCACCTCTCACCTTCACCTCTTGATTCTGTACAGCAGCCAGACTGAGGCTTCTAAAGAGAAGTTGCACCACATCACTCTGTCCAAAAAGGTCCATTGATAACACATCTTACTCAGAGAAAAGATTATGAAATCCAAACCAAACTTCAGTGACAAGCCTAAATATTTGTCAATTATTTCCTTTTATAGAAAAGGATAGGTTTTTCACTTTGAAACATAGCAAAAGCACAGTTTAGTTAAAAATCCAGCAGCCAAACATACTACTTGGCCATCAAGTTTCCCTTTCTAAATTCACTTATATTCACATAATTCTACGCTTATTACATAATGCTTTTAAAAATAAAAACCATCAGAATCTTTGGTTAAATAATATCACATCTGGACTGAATCATGGTAGTATGGATATTTTTTTATAAATTCCAGTTTATTTATTCATCAGTAAAATGTAATATTTGACAATATCGCTAGAGAATAAGTTTCCTCTGTGTAGGGAAATGACAGTGTCATCACACCTGCTATGAAGTGGGTCATTTGCAGTCACTACTAGATTATAACAGAACTGCTCTCATACTGAGGCTTCCCTGTGAACAAAGTACTACAAGCAGTCATTGCCAGACCAGTATGGAACACGGAGCTCACTCCTGACACCAGGCACCACCTGAATCCTGTATTTATGTTTCCGTGTTAGGGTGCTGAGCCTTGGTGCTATTAAGCACAATGAGTTTTTCTTAATGAATGTGGTGGGTTAAAACAAAAGGTCCCCTCAATCATTTACTTTCCCTCCACCTTTTTAAAAAATATTATTATTATTTTTTTTAAAGATTTATTTTATTTATACAAGAATTGGGGTACAGGCCAGATGCATGAGAGAGTGAGAGGATTCACCAAAGACAGAGAGGGGAACAGAAAAGGCAGACTGACGAAATACACTGCTGAGGGGAGCAGCCGGTGAGACAGAAGAGGTCTGCTCACCATGTGGGTTGCTCCGAGGCCGGTGGGGATCAAATAGGCACTGCAGAGGCTGCGGACAGCTTCACAGCGCTGTGCTCAACCACCTGCAACACCAGGGAGACCCTTAAAAATTATTGATGAGACAATATAAGTTACAGATTCACTGGCCTGAAAGACACAGTCACCTCTTAGGTCACACTTGGTATTTACGCAAGAGGTTGGTTTCTCTTGGTCTCTCAGCATGACCATCCCTCAGCAGGGCCCTCAATGTGGAGATTCAAGTGCTACCATTGCTATGTCTCCTGGCTGATTATAGATTATTTTCCCTCATTAAAAATATTTAATAAATGGGCAATAATCTCAGCCTTTGTAACCTCTCCATCGAAAAACTATTCATTTTCACCATTTCCTGCTGGCTGCTGTGCTATTCTTCTGTCCCCTTCTTCACATAATAGTGGTCCTTTCCCTTCAAAGGAGGAAGAATTTTTGAATGAAGAAGAGGTGAAGGTGTGTATGGTGAGTTGAGCCATTAATAAATGTCCTTAAGAATTGAAGATACAAAAATCACCATCATGAATGGAAACTGTCCAGATATTGAACAAGATGTACAACCTAAATAAGCCAGCTTGTGGACCATTCACTAATAATGAGTTGAATCCAATCATTCGAAAACTCTCATATGTTGTCTTATAATTTGCTGTATCCTCTCAGCTCCAGCGGGAACAATGAAATGGTGAGAATACTTAATCCATGGTAATGATGTAACAGTAAACAATTTCTTGTGAGATTTGATTCTTTAAAAATTGTGGGTGTTGGGCTTCTCTGGTTGCCTAAGGGTTAACTATAGCACTACCACTGAGAAGGTCCACTGCAACAGCCTGAGTGGGTCCCAGGCCAGGGAGCTGACCCACATGGTGCAGCAGACCTCCTCATCTTGCCCACTACTCCCATTAGCAATGCATTTCAGTATATCTACCTATTCTGCTCCCCACTCTGTCTCTGGAGAATCCTCTCATGCCTCTGCCCTACACCACTGGCCTTCACCCCAGTTATTCTAAACAAAAATTAAAAAAAAAAAACTTAAAAAATTTGTGGATGTTTCATTAGGGAATTATAGATAAATAATAACTCAGTGTTGCAAAGGAAAAATAAAGGATAAAAGCATCAAAATTTCTTACTATCAGGAGAAAAACAATTTGTTGGAAGATATCAGCTTCTGGCCATGTGGGGGATATATAAGTGTTATAAAAAAAGTCATAATCTGCAGCATCAAGTACAAGATCCATCTCAGACCCAGCAAACGGCAGAGGCTGGGGACCCAGTGGTGGTGCAGGTGCAACAAGACAAAATGGGGCACTCAGTCAGCAGCAGTCAGGCTTTGTCATCAAATGAGTTTGATGTCAAACTAGAGAGGGTCTGTCCATCATCCAGCGCTGCTGGGCCAGGAAGCCTGGGCTGGTCTGCAGCCCTGGTCAGCTATAGGCGCAGCCTGATGGGGGTCAAGGGTTAGTTTTCAAGTTTGGCTTAATCTGGCCCTTTGTTTGCTTTCTCTACATTCAGATATAAGTATTTCTCTTTTTCCTTTTGACTTTTCCCTCTTCCATCCATGTTGCCACAGTGGCATGAGTTATGTTTTCTGACCGTGGATGCTACTTCATTACACAGGGACATACATCACCTGTACATGCACATACATGTATACATGTAATCCCAGCTTCTTCTTTATTTGTTACCTGTCTGGGGCATTTAGGTTGTTCCCATAGCTTGGCTACTGTAAATAGTGCTGCAGTGGTGACGGGAGTGCAGGTCTCTTCACAGGAGAGTAGAATTGCTGGGTCCAATGGCAGAAACACATTCACTCTTTTTTTTTTTTTTTTATAAATGAATGGTAATTGTATCTTTTTTTAAAAAAAAATATTTATTTATTCATACAAGCACTGGGTACAGTCAGAAGCGCGGGAGGGTGAGAGAATTCACCAGAGCCAGAGCGGGGAGCAGAGCAGGCAGAGTGATGAAGTACACTGCTGAGGGGAGCAGCGGGTGGCAGGAGAGGCCTGCGCGCCATGCGGGACCCTCTTCCGGTAGCCAGGGAGCAGCCAGGGATCGAACCGGTGGTCAGAGGCTGGGGGCAGCTTCGCAACCCAGCGCTGAGCCGCTGCGCCACCCGGGAGGCCCACATTCACTCTTTTAAGAAACCTCAATACTGTTTCCATAAGGGCTGGCTCAGTCTATATCCAAACACAATGCAGGACTGTCCCCTTTTTTCCACATCCTTGCCAGCACTTGAGTTTCTGGTCTTTTGGTTATGGGCCATTCTTGCAGGTGTGATGTGGTTTAAACTATGGGAACATAAAGCCAGAAAATGTGGGCAAAAAGAAATCCTGTAACACTCAGGCCAACACAAGGCTGTCTCACACTTTGAAAGAAAATAATCATGAAGAAATTCAGGTGAACTACCTGAGTGTTAACATTATCAATGGTCCACTGCATTCTCAAGATGTCCTCCTGAAAGCATCCCCATCACCTAGTCCCAGAATCTCTGCCTCAACCCCCAGCCCCACTGCAGTCTTCCAGGGTCTCACCTATGAGATACACTTAAAAGTGCTGGGACTGTGGCTGCCTGGGCGAGAACACAACAAAACTTGGTCAGAGATGAGACCACAGGAGGGATTGATGAGAGTGACTACCCCATGGGCTTCATCTACACTGTCCCCAGGGGCTCAGGGATCAAACCCCTGATCCACACTTACCTGGAGCCAGAGTGTAGCTTCTTCCTTCTTCACCTGTGGGAAGAAGCATCATGTGAGACCAGGGAGCAGTCAGGTCAGAAGTTCTAAAGGAATCTTCTAATCCTAGACCACTGTGAGTAAAGACCCAGGTCAGGACTGGGAAAAATGAAGAAAGGAGGTGAGGGGGGAACTTGGCCAAATGCCCTCTGGGCAACACACGTGTGTGGATGGTACTTCCCATTAACCAGGCAGGGCAAGTTCTCCCTGGGACATGAAAGTCCCCAGTGGACAAGATCCCCCACTCCCTTCCCTACCTGAGCGCTTCTTCCTCCACATCACAGCTGCAGCCACCGCAGCTCCAGTGAGCACAGCTCCAAGGACTGGGCCAGCAATGATGGCCACGTTGGGGTTGAAGGACTGAGGAGGGGGCACTGGGAGGGAAGGGAAGAGGAGGCTGAGCCCCAGGCCTCATCCTGCCCCTCTGAAGTTCTCCAGAAGGGCTCCTGATTCCTCTGAACAGAAGCTGAGTGCCCATGACCCCCTCCTCACCCCATCTCAGGACTTGGAGCTCCTCCAACCCCTCATGCTGCACATGGCATGTGTATCTCTGCTCCTCTCCAGGAGGCACCACCACAGCTGCCCACTTCTGGAAGTTTCCATCACCCCCAGGCCTGGTCTCCACCAGCTCTGTGTCTTGAGTCAGGTTCTCCCCATCTCGCTGCCAGGAGAGGGTGATGTCCGCAGGGTAGAAGCCCAGGGCCCAGCACTTCAGGGTGACCTCATGGTCAGAGGTGAGATGGAGGGTCACTTGTGCCTTTGGGGGATCTGGGAAGGGTCAAAAAACTCACATTTTGGGCTTTTCTTTCCTGGACACTAAAGTAGCCTCACTGACCACCCTCCTCAGAAGGAACATGACAATTGGTTTGGAGGGAAGAAGCACAAAACCCAGAAACCAGCCTAGTCTGGAGAATCTGGGATAAACAGGTGAGAGCCCAGGGTAGGAACATACAGGTCTCTAAGGAGAACACAGACTTTTGCTCCTGACCTGGTTGGAGGGTGAATGACACAGAAAGGCAGAAGTCGGACCCAAAAATGTTCTTAGATCAAAAACAAGGCCTTGAAAGAAACACTCATGGTTCCCAGGATGGCTGCTGGGTCAAAAGGATCCAGGGAGAGTTATTTCAGGATGGCCTCCCCTCCCTCAGGAGAGACTGGATTCCTTAACTGTCCAGAAAAGTAGTGTCTTCTGGGCGAGTCTCTCTCTAGCACAGAACATGAAACCCAGGGGACTCTCCCTCTCTGCCCAGAAAGCAGCTGCTGTTCTGCCCATTATTCCATTTTCTCTGTAGTGCTCTAGGAGGGAGTGGGGTCTGAGGCCTTGTGGCCCCTGTTACCTGTGCGCTGCAGCACCTCCTTCCCCATCTCCAGGAGTCTGAGGAGCCATGGGAAGCACCTGCTCTGCACACTGTCCCTGACTTGCTTGGCCCTGCCCGCCGCCTCCCACGCGCGCTGGGTGATCTGAGCCCCCGAGTCCGCGGGGGTCCAGGAGCGCAGGTCCTTGCTCAGGGAGATGAAATCCGCGCCGTCGTAGGCGAACTTCTCATACCCGCCGAGGAGGTTCCCGTGGGGCCCCACTTCACAGCCACACATTTTCTGGAGAGTGTGAGACCCTGAGACCCCACCCGCAGTGGTCAGCGCAGAGGTCACCATGAAGTCACCCCGCCCTCTCACCCTGAATAACCCTAAACTGAAAATGAAAGGGCAGACAGGAGAGTCTCTTCCCGGGGGAGGGGCCTGGCAGATCCACCAGCCTCGAGGGGTCAGTGGACCCTGAGACTCGGGACACCCCGGCCTTATGGTGGGAATGGGGGTGTGACCTGACCCTGGCACCCCTCCGCGAAGCTCACCATCCTCGCTCTGGTTGTAGCGGCCACGCAGGTCCCTCAGGAGAGTTTCGAACCACTGTGCGTTGTATCTTTGCCTCTGAGTCTCCTCATCCAGGTCCTCCTGCCCCACCTGCCCCGCCCAGGGCGCCCACAGCTCCACACTCTGGCCTGGAGAGTCGCTGTCGAACCGCCCGAACTGCGTGTCGTCCACGTAGCCCACGGCCAGGTAGTGGGGCTCCCCAAGGCCGGGCCGGGACATCGCGGTGTGGAAAATCCTCAGGGAGTTGGAACCTGCGGCAGGGGACCGGCCCAGACTCAGGGGGGCCAGAGCACTCAGGGGAGGCGGGAGGGACAGAAGGAGCCAGAACACAAGGGGCTTGAAGGGGTACAAGAGGTTGGGGAGGAGATGAGCCTTTCCTGGGGTCCTGCACCCGCAGGGGGCTCCTGGCTCCTCCCTCCTGGAGCAACAGTGTCCAGCTGGACACGCACTCACCCTCCGGGGTCTCCATTAGGGCCAGGGGCCCCCAGAGCAGCAGCAGGAGGGTTAGGGGCACCACACTCCATCCAGGGTCCTGGGGAGAATGAGTTCAGGAGGGTCCTTGGAGACTTTGTAACTGGTGCAGCCATGATACTATTATCTTCCCTGGACACCCCCCAGGAAATGGGGAGAGAGAATGGGGGTGAGTGTGGGGTCATCAAGGCTGCACCACCCCACAGAGCCTTTGAGAGGGAGACATGATGCTGTAACAGTGTGACATCCACAGACAGGGGAGGCTCCAAATTCCCTTCCCCACCTTAGGGGGGAGTGGATTTGGGCTGGGAGAGGCAGCAGCCTGGAGGAATGAAGAAAATAGAAGTATTTTCAGATAATTGTGAATATTGATACTAAATTAAAACTGTATAGGTGGTAGTTTCTCAAAGGTTATTTTGAGAGTGAAACCTGAAATAACATCACAGAATATTTCCTTACATTCTCTTACATTTCCATAGTCCTCTGGTATGGCTTTTTTTTTTTTAAGGTGATGCATTGTTTCACTAAGTTACATAAATCTTTAGTGCTGATTAAACTAGAGTCAAATTATCAAAAAATGTTTTATTTTTTAATTCCAAATTTCAAAAGAAAAACTCGTACTGTAAATTGACAAGTAGTGATGCACTCAATTTTTCATAATTCTGGATTTCTCTGAGAGCTTATATTGTATCTATCACACAAAATTACTGTCATTTGCCAATTGTTGATTTTCTTCAAGAAACATTCATTCGGGCCTCCCCGGTGGCGCAGCGGTTGAGCGCTGGGTTGCGAAGCTCCCTGCGGCCTCTGCGGTGCCGGTTCGATCCCCGGCTAGTCCCTGGCCACCAGAGGAGGGTCCCACATGGCGCGCAGACCTCTTCTGCTGCCTGCTGCTCCCCTCAGCAGTGTACTTCGGCCCTTCTACCTGCTCTGCTCCCCGCTCTGGCTCTGGTGAATTCTCTCACCCTCCCGCGCTTCTGACTGTACCCAGTGCTTGTATAAACAAAACAAACAAACAAACAAACAAATAAAAAATACATGCCTCTTTAAAAAAAATAAAATAAAATAAAAAGAAACATTCATTCATTTTGAGGAAAGTGTCTGCTAATCAACCCAATTTATATCACCTTAGTTTTTGTCATTCATCCCTTCAGGTAAGATTGGTATTGCTCACAAACAAAAAGATTCTAATTCATCTCATACAAATATTTTCCTCAGCACACAGTGCTTGGGAAAGCCACACAAGTGCTCTGTGTGTCCTTCCAGCCCAGCACACCACATATTTTAAAATGTGTAGTTGAGGATGATGTAATAATGAAGATAACTTTTAATACTTTTTCCAGTACATTTTCAAGTGAAACTGGCTTTCATTTTTATTTCTGAAGGTAAGTGCTGATGAAGAATTACTACTTCTGCAGTGGTATTATAAGCGCCACTCTTACTAAATTTTACCTCAGCAAATACCAAAAGAGTGATAAGACAAATGGCGTCTAAGTGATGTTTTGAAAACAGTTTTATGTCATGGATCCCATGAAAGGTTCTGGGTGACTTCAAGGGCTCCACAGACCACACTTTGAGAAAAGCTTTTCTCAGTGAACCAGGGAGCATCTCCCAAGTGTTCTCTGCCTTTGCCTCCTCTTCACTTCCCAGCATCTCTCTCTCTGGCTGGCTCCTGCCTCCCCAAGCTGCCTCCCCTGCAGATACAATGGGGAGTAGAGAGAGGACCCAGGAGATGTGGAGCTTGCACTGTCATGAGAGATGGTCACTGAGTAAAGGTAACAAGGACACGTGTAAACCCCACCTAAGCCCTGTGCTGGGAGAGAGGAGCGTATTTATTGTGAAAGCAGAGAAGCAGGAGTGCTAACAGGTTGGACCACTATTATCAATGGTATGAAGAGATGTAAAAAAAAAAAATTATTAAAAACAAATTAAGTATAAGGAAAACAGATTTTATCTCTTCCCACATCTGTCACTTTCGCCCCTGACACATGTTTTCTGGTCCCATAGAACCAGCCTGTCTGCTCTTCCCTCAGCATCCCACCACGACCTGCCCCAGGACTCAGCCAAATTGAGGAGGCCTGTAGCTTAATCTACCTCCTGGTCCTTCCTGGCCCCATCCTCATGCTCACCTGCTCTTCCCCTCATTTATTATGCTCTGAAGTACAGGCATCCCCAAGATGTTCAGAAAGGTGTCCCCAAGACAGGCCACTTTGGCATGTGAATTATTTCCATCTGAGCTTTATCAGCGGTTCATGTTAAGAAACGTTTACTACTTTATAACTACCTAGTATGAAAATTGGTGGTCTTACCCCAAAATGGGGTTATTACTAGAAATTAGTTTTGTATCCGAGAAATCTACCTATATGTCAGGGCAAACATAATTGTAGAACATCTGGTCTTCATCATATGAGCCACCCTGTCCTTGCCATGGGATCCCCTTCGCTCTCCTGGAGGTCCCAGGCCCTACTCACTCCTTAGCTCAGGAGACACACCCCCCTTTCCTGCAGGGATTTCAGACACTCATTTAAATGTAGATTCCTTATGCATATATAGGTAAATTTGGTTATTTTCTACTACTAAAAAAAAAAGAACAAAATATTTTGTGAAATTTCATGTGCTCAGAATGAGAGTTCTTGAAAATTAGAGATTTGATCATAGAAATGAATAAATCAGTAGATGAACTGGCACTGGCCATGCTACTCATGTCGTCTCACAAAGGTCCAGGCATGGGGCAAATTCCTGAAGTCAGGAATCTCCTTAGCTGACTCCTGCTAGATTCTTCTCATTTGTTTATGGGTGGCTTCTATTGAATGTGGCAATTGTTAAAATATGCATTTAGAAGTAAATCTGCAAATGCTATATGACCAAATACTAAATAACTAATTGGACAACAGTGGCACTGCGTGATGCAAACAGTACATTCTCAAATGATGAATAAACTTCTGCCTGAAGGCAGTGATTCAGAATTTGGTTTCATTGTAACAAGTGATATGCTACACTTAAAATCTTTTGGGAACTAAAGGTTGTAAACATTCCCAGCCAAGTCTTTGATGTAGAATTGTGGTCTTTAAAGACAGAGACCATCTGGAGAGGAGTTTTGAGTTAGAGGTAGCAGTTAAAGTTGGAAACAGCAGTTAGTTGACAAGATAATCGGGGAAGTAACAGGTGAAAATATAGCCTTGAGAAAGTAAAAGGAGTTTCCCTTTTTTTTTCCTTTTGAAGCTTGTGGTTAGATAAGGGTGGCACCAGGATTCTTATGTGGCACCAGGATTCTTTGGGTTTTTTAATTTTTTTACTACTTTTATTAAATTAGAATAGATTAGTTATAGGAATAAGACATTTTTTGATTTTAGCAGTAATTGGACTTAATTACCAATATATAAGGTGATTATTGTTGTGCCCAAGATCAGCAGACTCGGCGAGCATAGCCTCCAAGAATCCAAAGACAGCCGATGCAAACACAAGAGGGAGTTTATTACAGACTTGAGTCTGGGCTCACGGCACCTACCTACACAGTGGCAGATAGTGAGAGCCCCAAACAGAGGAAGCAGGGGTCTTAAATAGGGTCACAAGCAGGCACGAATTTTGAAAGAAGCTGGCAATTACTCATTGGCTACTACAAAGGCATTTTGACGCATGCAGTTACAGTTTCAAACTGATTGGACGGTTAGAGATGCTGTCCCATTTATGGATAGGACTGCCCTCATTGGCGACTGGTATGTTCTGCTTTTTCGTCACCAAGTGGAGTGAGGGTTGTGACTACTGAAACTATCTCCGGAATGCGGCTGTACAAGGACTAACATAGCAAGGTGGAGGATATACAAAATGGCGAAACCTCGGCTAAGCTTGGTTCCACAATTATGTTTGTTAATGTTTAAGATTTAGGAATTTTATAAATTTTGATTAATTAGTAATTTAGCAGTTACAAAGGAATTAGGTTTTAGTCATATAAGTTTTTGTTGTTTAGCTGTTTTTTAGCATTAACAGAATGATTACTGGGCAGTGGAAAATAAAATGATTGTTAGTGGACATTTTTTGTGGTAATTGTATTTACATTTAGAACTCAGTGAAATGGCTATTATCACCTCAGCAAGGGGTCAAAGGTCCCCAGGCCGGTTTGGCTGTGCTGGGAGCCATGCTACTCAGGTCCTCTGACAAGTGTCTGGGCATGGGGCAGATTCCTGAAAAGTCAGGAATCTCATTAGCTGACTCCTGCTAGTTTCTTCTCATTTGTTTATGGGTAGTTTCTACCATTATTAAAATATGCATTTAAAAGTAAAATTGCAAATGCTGCTTGATCAATTACTGAATAACCAATTTGATGGCAAATGGCACTGAATGATACAAACATTACATTTTTTATAAAATTAGTAATTCTCTGCCAAAAGGCAACATTCGGCCTTCCATTAACAAGTGAAAAAACTTCTGGGAACAAAAAGCTGTAAACATCCCTTGGCCAAGTCTCTGATATGAATATGTGGTCTTTTGAGGCAAGGACTAAATGGAGAAGGAAATTCTTTTAATTTAAAGTTAAAGATAGCAGCTGAGTGGCAGACACAAGCCCTGCTCCAAGTGTAAGAAAATTCCTAATAAGCCAGGAAGTGCCATAGCTAGCTCCTGCTAAATTCTTCCTGTTTGTTTAGGGCTGATTTCCCTGGAGGTGACAATTGGTATGGTAGCTGTTAGAGTATACATTAAAGAATAAGTCAATAGGGCTTCCCCTGGTGGCACAGCGGTTGATCCCCTACCAACAGTGAGGGTCCCACATGGCATGCAGACCTCTCCTGCCATGCCCACTGCTCCCCTCAGGAGTGTATTTCGTCGGTCTGCCTGTTCTGTTCCCTGGTCTGGCTCTGGTGAATTCTCTCACCCTCCCACACTTCTGATTGTACCCAATGCTTGTATAAATAAATCTTTTTTTTTTTTTTTTAAAAGAATAAGTCAATAACAATTTTGTGACTGGTCTAACTAATAACCATGGCAGCACAAATAATGCACTTGGAAATAGTCAATGTTACAACTACTGATATGTCACGTATTAACCATTCTGGGAACCAAAAGCTATAACCATCTCTGGCCCTGCCTCTGATAAAATGTTTTTAGTTCCTTAAAACAATAATCAGCAATCTTACAGAAAAAGGAATTTTCCCTTGATTTTTTTTTTTTTAAGATTTATTTATATAAGCACTGGGTACAGTCAGAAGCGCAGGAGGGTGAGAGAATTCACCAGAGCCAGAGCAGGGAGCAGAGCAGGCAGAAGGACCGAAGTACACTGCTGAGGGGGGCAGCGGGCAGCAGGAGAGGTCTGCATGCCATGTGGGATCCTCACCGGTGGTCAGGGAGCAGGCGGGAATCAAACCAGTGCTGCAGAGGCTGCAGGCAGCTTCACAACCCAGTGCTCAACCGCTGTGCCACTGGGGAGGCCCATTTTTCCCTTGATCTTAAAGTTAGATATGGAAACCAGGCTGATGAGATAAGTATAGGAGTAATAGGTAGAAAAACTCTTGTGTTAGATTAGGAGAATTCCTCCCTTAATTGAGAGATTGGGGCTAGGGAAAAGTCAATGCATCTTCCTTCCCCTAGATAACTTCCTGTCCTTTGTTTCCCCTAGCCCTTAGTTAATCATTCTCTATGGCAAACATAGAAATGTTGGTTTCAGTCACATAAGCTTTTTGTTAGCAATAAAGTGACTGTTTAAGGTAAATGACTACTCTAAGAACACTTTTGTTTAGCAACTGTGCCTTCTTTAAAACAAAGAATAATAAATGTCATGGCCTCTGCAGGAGGGCTGTTCTTGAGAAAGATGTGATGGTTGTTATCTTCCTGCCTTAATGCATATGCTTATGAACTCACAGTTTGCTTGAAATGTACAAATAAAAGGGCTGCTGAGACCCTCAGCAGAATGATGTCTGCACCCTGATCAAGTGTCTGTGTCTCCTCACTCCCCCTCCCCATCATTCCACATCTGTGCCAATGCTCCCCCATCCTTCAGGAACCCCTGACACCCAGGCTGCTGTGGTTGGCTCCAGGCATGGCCGGTTTTAAAAAAAAATGCCTGGGTTGTTAGTCCTTTTTTTACTTGAAAGCGCTTGCTTATGTACTCTCAAGGCTTGCTTGCTCAAGATGTATAAATAAAGAACTGCTGAGACCCTAGGCAGGAGACACTGCACCCTGATCAAGTGTCTGTGTCTCCTCACTCCCCCAGCCCCTCATCCCCTCAAGTGGAGATGCTGTCTTTTCCTGCAGGGACCCTGACAGGACAGTTTGCTGGAGCTGGCTTCAGGCAGATGAACTGAAATATTAAAGTCTCACTTCCACTAAATAACGTAAATGGAAAAGAAATGACAAGCAGAGAGAAGACCTACAAGAAAGTGAGTCTATGGACTAGGAGATTCCAAGTAGTTAATAATACAGGTGTCTAGGGCCTCCCCGGTGGCATGGCAGGTTGAGTGCAGTGCTGTGAAGCTGTCCGCAGTCTCTGCAGTCCGGGTTCAATTCCTGGCCGGCCAGGGTGATACCCACATGGCACGGCAGACTTCTGTCTCGCCCGCTGCTCCCCTCAGCAGTGTTTTCTGTCTGTCTGTCTGTTCTGCTCCCTGCTCTGTCTCTGGTGAATTTTCTTACCCTCACACACCTCTGGCCTATACCCCTGTACTTACATAAATAAATCTTTAAAAAAAAAAATACAAGTGTCTTAAAGAATGGAAAATGGAAATGATGAAAAAAATTCAAGAAAATCCCTGAGCACTCACAGATAAAATGTGCATGCTGGGTGTCCTACCCAGTTCCTCCTACAGAGGATGAGCAGCCCCATACCGTGACCCACCCCAGGGACTTTCAGAAAGAGGCTGAAGAAGGACAGACCTTGGGACCCTCAAGAGACAACTCAGGCCTGGAGGCCAGAAGTCCCTGGAGCCAGGCCTGCCCAGTGCTCAGGGGAATCCAGCCCAGAGTCTGTGTCAGGCCCAGGTGAGGGAGGTGCTGGAGGCACAGACATTCACTTCAGCTGTGTGTGGTCTCAGGGGTTACTGTCCACGTCCCTCCTCTAGTGGGCAAAGGACACTAATTGGCAAAGGGGAAACAAAGGTGATGGACACAGAGAACAAGACACAGGAAAATCAACCACATGGGAACAGGGACAGGAGAGAGGCCAAGGGTGAGGTGGTGGATCTGGGCCTTCAGCCCCACCCAGGTGAGCAGGCCCCATGCCCCGGGAGGCAGGACTGAGGCTGTGGGACAGGGGTCTGCCTAGGATGAAGTGGGCAGAATAGCTGGTGTGTGTGATATTATAAGCACGAGGCCAGGGCAGCGATGTGGCAGAGGGAGGAACTTGAATCTGTAGCCACCTGCATTCAGGCAACCCGCATCCGGGGAGCTGGCTCTACCCGCTTTGCACTGTGCCTGATAAGCAGCCATGAAAGAACAACAAGCTGCAAGAGAGAACATCTTTGAAATGCAACCTCACTCCACCTCCCACCAAGGCCAGACTCCTCCTATAAAAGATTACCCTCATCCCCTGAGAGGCACAACTTCTCTGACCTCTGTGGGGGTCAGTGAACTTTACTGGGGCGCAATAAACTTTTTGCCTGTGAGAAATTTAGCCTGGTTTTCCTTTTCTTTACCGTACCAACCCTTTCATCTTGGTGCTGAACCCGGGGAAAGCTGCGTCCCCTGGCGCTGAGGCCACTTTCCCGTCCCAAGGACCTCTCCTCTACATTGCAGATGCCTCACATCCACCACCGACCTTGATTCCTGGGGTAAGTCATCAGTCTGACTCTCCTTCCTAGGAGGCCCTCGCCTCTGGCTATCTGGCTCCTCTCCTGACTCCTTGTTTGGTTGGCTGTCTTGAAACCGTGGGCCCACGTCAGCCGACTCCCTGTTATACCTAGACCTGGATTTGGGGACGCCCATCCAGACTAGGTGCCCGGTTTAAGGCAACAGGTGAGTGGTGGAGACATGGCCCTTATCTGTCTGTCTCCTGTCCTATAGACAACAACCGAGAGGTGGAGACATCCCCCTCACTTGTTTGCCCCCTGCCTGTTGGCCAGAACCTAATCTTGGACGCTTCAGTCCTGGGTCCTCTGTCCTGGGTCTATGCCCCCTGTAGGCCAGGTCAGGCTCATGGGACTCTGCGTCCTGACACTGTGCCCCCTGTTGGTTGGGAAAAGGAGCTGGGTTAGCCATGGGCCTGCAAATTCTAAGCCTGAACCGGCCACCCCTCTGGGATGCCTTCTCTCAAACCTCGATTCGCTGGGGCTTAGGCCAGATATGCGCCTCAGCGCCAATTGGAGAATGGCTCTCACTGGCCGGTATACGGCACCTTCAATTTCTTGGTCCTTACCGACCTTAACAACTTCTGTCACCACAATGGAAAATGGTCAGAGATCCCTTATATCCAGGCTTGCTTTCTCTTGCACTGCTGTCCCTCCCTCCTAAAAAGCTGCCACACTTTCCAAGTCCTCCTTGCCAGAGAGTCCTCCCACTCTTCTCCCTCCAGTAACCCCAGCCAGGACAAACAAAAACTGCCCTCTCCGGACCCCCTTTCAGCATTTTCTGATCCTCTAGATTCTCTGTCCTCACCTCCCTCAGCTCCCCAGAGACCCTGCCTTACCTGGAACCTGCTTCAGCCCACCCTCCCTCCATGGCCCCCAACCAATCCAGCCCCCCTCCTTCACCTCCTCCTAGTCGCCACACCTGCTCTCATGATCTTCTCTTCTTTGCCCCCTTAGGGAAGTGGCAGGGACTGAGGGAGTAGTTAGGGTCCATGTTCCTTCATCTCTGTCTGATCTCTCTCAAATCGGAAAGCATCTTGGCTCTTTCACTAATGACCCCACTAGCTACATCAAAGAGTTTCATTATCTTACCCAAGCCTATGACCTGACGTGGCATGATGTACATGTTATCCTCTCTTCCAACCTGACCTATCACGAAAAGGAACGTGTTTACCAGTCTGCTCCAGACCATGCAGATCAGGTCCACTTGATCGATGCAGCCATGCTCCCCAGCCCAGAAGCAGTTCCCCTCCAACAGCCGGGTGGGACTCCCAGACTGACACTGACGCGGGCCGCCAAGGCAGGGCTCACCGAGACCATTTTATTACCTGTCTCCTGGCTGGTATCCAAGAGGTGGCACATAAGGCGGTAAATTTTGATAAGCTTAGGGAGATCACCCAGTCTGCCTCAGAAAACCCAGCAGCCTTTCTTAGCCGCCTTACTGAGGCCCTTCAGCAGAACACTAGGTTAGATCCTGATTCACCTGGAGGTGCCACAGTCCTGGCTGCTCATTTCATATCCCAGTCAGCCCCGGATACCAGAAAAAAGTTTAAAAAAGCTGAGGATGGCCCTCAGGCCCCTATCCAAGACCTGCTGAACATGGCCTTTAAGGTTTTTAACAACCGGGAGTAACAGGACAGGACAGATAGAGACCTGTAGTCGCCAAAAGGCTGAGCTTCAAATTCAGGCCTTGGTGGCTGCCTTGAGACCGTCATGCCCAGCTCCTCCAACCACCGCAGCAACTGCCGCCTGACAGAGGATGACAATGGGCCTCCATCAAGAGCCCCTGGGACCCTGCTTCAAGTGTGGCCAGGAAGGCCACTGGTCCAAACATTGCCCCAAATCACACCCTCCACCAGGACCATGCCCCATCTGTGGTATCCAGGGTCACTGGAAAAGCGACTGTCCCTCCGTGCCTGGCTGTGGTGGGCTAGTCCTTCCGGCCCCTGTGACCCTGCCACCGGCGGTCTTGGGTTTGGCAGCTGAGGACTGAAGAGGCCTGGACTCATGGACCCTGATAACTTTCGGGGAGCCCAGGGTAATGGTCAAAGTAGCAGGTAAGTCCATTTCCTTTTTGGTTGACACAGAGGCTACCTTCTCTGTCCTCCCCTCCTACCCAGGTCAGACTTATCCTTCCCAAATCTCGGTTATGGGTATTGACAGACAACCCTCTCAGCCTTGGGCTACTGGACCCATCCTTTGTCAAACAGACAGCAAGCCGTTATTTCACTCTTTCTTAGTCATGACTTCTTGCCCCACACCACTCTTGGGTCACAACCTCCTAACCAAACTAGGGGCCACTCTTTCATGGTTCTAAGACCCTAGCGCTGCTCTCATCCTCCCATTGCTCCAAATATATAATCCTCCTCAGGACTACCCGCTGTCTCCTTCCACTGTCGACCTTGTGGTCTGGGATATCTCTACCTTGGTTGTGGTTGCTATTCACTACCAACCAATGCTGATCTCTCTCAAAGACCCCACCTCTTTCCCAGCCCGTCCTCAGTTCCCTATCTCCCTAACCCATCAGTGAGGTCTCAAACCCATCATTCAATGACTCCAGGACAAAGGACTTTGGGTTCCTACTAATTCACCCTGCAACACTCCCATCCTACCTGTTAAAATGCCTGACGGCTCATACCGACTAGTCCAGGATCTGCGCTTTATTAATGACGGGGTGGACCCCATACACCCTGTTATTACTAATCCTTATACGCTTCTCTCACACATACCTCCCTCGACTACTCATTTCTCAGTCCAAGACCTAAAGGATGCCTTCTTTACTATTCCCCTTGACCCAAAATGTTATCATCTTTTTGCCTTTATGTAGGAGGACGCTGACACAAACACACCTCAGCAACTCACCTGGACAGTCCTGCCTCAAGGTTTTAGAGACAGCCCTCACCTCTCAGGACAGGCCCTCGCCATGGATCTAGCAGCCTGTGATCTCAGTCCTGGCACTCTCCTCCAGTATGTAGATGACCTCCTTTTATGCAGCCCTTCACTGGAACTGTCAATCACTCACACTGCATAGCTCTTAAATTTCTTGAGTACTTAGGGATACTGGGTCTTGTCTTCAAAAGCACAGCTCTCCGCCTCTACTGTTACCTACTTGGCCTTAGGGTCACTCCCTAAGGCCAAACAACTCACTGTTGCTATACGCTCCCTCCTGGTCCCTGAAAATGCTGAACAAATTCTGTTCTTTCTGGGTTTGGTGGGATTTTTCCATCACTGGGTTCCTAATTTTGCCTTCTTGACCAAACCACTATATGAGGCTGCAAAGGCTACTCCCCAGGGCCCCCTCCGGACACCAACCGAGATGCACAGGGCCTTCCTCCTTTTACAGACAGCCTTGCTCCAGGCTCTGGCCTTAGCTCTCCCAGACCCTGAAAAGCCATTCCGGTTATTCACAGATGAACGACAGGGCGTTGCCCTAGGTGTTCTGGTCCAACCCACCGGGCCAGTCCAATGACCAGTTGCTTATCTCTCCAAACAAATGGATTCAATGGTTAAGAGGATGGCAGCCCTGCCTGCACACACTAGCAGCAGCTGCTCTCCTTGCCAGGCAGGCCCTGAAACTCAAACTGGGTCAACTGTAAATGTCAGTTCTCCACATCGGCTCTAGGACTTACTCACCGGGCTCTCTCTCGCCTAATGCCCTCGTGTGTGTTAGACTTTCACACCCTCTTTATCGAAAAACCCTCTGGTCACTTTATCCCAATCTCCTATTTTAAACCCAGCCACTCTGTTACCACAACCTGACTCTCCCCTGTCTTCCCACGCGTGTGCTGAGGTTCTGGAGGAATTGCGGTCACCTTGTCTGGGTCTCACTGACACTCCCCTTCTACATGCAGAAAACATCCTGTTTGCAGATGGCAGCTCCTGTAAAGATCTGCAAGGGAAGCGCAGGGCTGCCTATGCAGTGGTGACTGAACACCAGATCTTCGAGGCAAACTTACTCCCTGAAGGGACCACATCACAAAAAGCTGAGCTTATAGTTCTCACCCAAGCACTTACACTCTCACAGGGAAAAAGGGTCACTATACACACTGACTCTAAATATGCTTTCCTAGTAGCTCATAGCCATGCGGCAATCTGGCAGGAACGTGGTTTTCTGTCCACCAAAGGATCTCCTATCATTAACGCTAAACTTATTTTCAAACTGCTCCAGGCCCTCCAGCTACCAGCTGAGGTGGCCATAGTTCACTGCAAGGGACACCAATCAGACTCTTTGGAGGTGACATGAGGAAACAACAAAGTGAATGAAATGGCCAGGGCCTTGACAAGCCCTGGATAGCCTTCTGTCGCACCTGTTCTGTTTCTCTCTTTATGCTCTATCTCACCCCTCTATAAGCCTAATGAATGGACAAATCTTCTTTCCAAGGGTGGCACTGAAGGACAACAAGGTTGGATTACATTTAACAATAAATTGGCTCTCCCCAAACAGCAAGCCTCTGACATTACCCAAAAGGTACACAAGACGCTGCACATTGGGCCACACTCACTGGTTCACTTTGTTCTTTCACCCTTCACTGACTAAGATTGTCTGGGAGACCTGCTCCCGCTGTCAAACTTGCTAGGGGGAATACGTCCTCCCTCCTTTGTAGGTCATCAAATGAAGGGACATCTCCCAGGACAAGACTGGCAAGTCGACTTCACCCACATGAAGAAAATCACAAGAAAATCAGATGCCTTCTTACTATGGTAGACACATCTCTGGGTGGGTGGAGGCCTTTCCCGCCACTAAAGAAACAGCACAGGTGGTAGCTGAAGCCCTAATTAACCACATCATTCCACACTTTGGCCTCCCTAACACTATCCAGTCGGACAACAGACCTGCCTTTATCTCCAAGATAACCCACTAGGTCTCCTCCTCCTTAAGCTTTACCTGGAAACTACACATTCCCTACCGACCTCAATCTTCTGGTAAGGCAGAATGGGTCAACGGTTTAATCAAAGACCACCTAACTAAACTTTCTTCTGAACTCCACAAATCTTGGATTGATTTATTCCCACTAGCCCTAATGCGCATCTGGACCACCCCACCGTGGCCCTCTATTTCTGAGCCCGTTTGAACTAATGTATGGCAGACCTTTTCTCATTAACCAGAACAGAAGGGCTCTGGAGCTCCTAACAGCCGGAAAAGGGGGTACCTGCTTATTCCTCAAAAAAGCTCTCACAATTGGCAAAAGACCTTGAACATCAGGTACATCTCCCCTTTTGCCTGGCTGAGTAGCCCTCTGGCTGCATGGTTACTCTCCCTGGTGGGACCACTAATTCTAATTTTGTTATTTTTTCTCCTTGCCCTTTGTATGCTCCAGTTCATCCAAGCCGCATTCGAGAGATGACTCACACCACCTTCAACCAACTACACCCTACTCAAGCCTCCCCACCAGTGAGCCAGGCCATTGACCTTGTTTTTTGACCTCTCTTCCTCACATTGCTCCACATCAGCAGGAAGTAGCCAGAAAGAATCCTTCACCCTTTATCCTATAACTAAAAGGTCAGAATGTAAGGTCATCGATGAGGCAGAGGGAAGAACTTGAAACTGAGACCACCTGCATCCCGGCAACCTGCATCCTGGGAGTTGGCTCTACCTGGTTTGCACTGTGCCTGATAAGCAGCCATGAAAGAACAAGCGGCAAGAGAGAACAACTTTGTAAAGCAACCTTACTCCACCTCCCACCAAGGCCAGACTCCGTCCTATAAAAGATTACCCTGTGAGAAATTTAGCCTGGCTTTCCTTTTCTTTACTGTACCAACCCTTTCAATTGTTATAAGGCAGGGAGAGGGGCAGCCCAGAGCCCGCAAACCTGCCTGCTTTAGATAAGTTCTGCCATCTGCCGCATCAACACAGAACATGTAAGATTTTAATGGGAAGGAACTTTAATACAATTAGTAAACAATACAGGAAAGGCGAAGAATATAGTTTCTAAATTAAGCATCCAAAGTTACCCATCCCCTCTTGGGTAAAACTCTACCCAAATGGAATTGGCCCAGAGCAAGGCCCCAAAGCCTGCCACAAGTCTAAAGCTACTTCTAGTGGGGACGCACAGAAAAGGGTCAGAAATAGCCAGACAAGTCTTCTAGGAAAAGAGCAAAATCAAAATCAAGATAAAAGCTGCCATTGTCACCTCCCCACGGGTGTCTCACCCACATCTGTGTCCAGTCCACAACCAAGAAGCAAGCACAGTTTCTTCATGTGTCTCTTGGCTCCATGTGCCTGCTCAAGTTCTCCTTCCGGCTCCATCCTGCTTCCTTCCTTCTTCAGCTCTTGAGTTAAATTCCAAACCTCGGATTTCTAGTGAGAGTCCAGGAACAAACAATTTACAAAATAAGCTCTTAATCTGTCTCTTCTCCTGTACACCTCATGGTTCACAAAAATAATTAAAGTCGGGCCTCCCTGGTGGCACAAGGGGGTAAGCACCGCACTATGAAGCAATCCGCACCCAATGCAGCATGAGTTTGATCCCCGGCCGGCCAGAGAGGAACCCACATGGCACAGCAGACCTTGCCCGCTGCTCCCCTCAGCAGTGTATTTCAGTTGATCTGCCTGCTCTGTTCCCCACTCTGTCTCTGGTGAATCTTCTCCCCCCCCCACCCCCGCATCTCTGGTCTGTACCCCAGCTCTTGTATGCATAAATAAAGAAATCTTTAAAAAAAAAGTTAAAGCCAACAAGTCACTCTTAAAAATACGAATTTGAGATATGTTTTATCTAAAGGAATTGGTAAATACAGCTTGTAAATTTAATCAATAAAAATGTCTCAGTGTTTTCACAGACAGAATAACTACTTCTTGGGTCTCCCTGGTGGTGCAAGGATTAAAGACAGCTGTCGGGACTATTGCCAGCCTCTGCAGTGCAAGTTGTATCCACAGCTGGCCAGGGTACAGCCAACCTCTCCTGCCTACATGCTGCTCTCCTCTGTTTCAGTAGATCTTCTTGTTCTGCTCCCCACTCTGTCTCTGGTGAATCCTCTCACCTGCCATACTTCTGGCCTGTACCCCAGTTCTTGTATACATAAATAAATAAATCTTTTTTAAAAAATAAAAATAACTACTACTTAAAACTAATACACATGGCCAAAGTTTTAAAATGAGAATCAAAAAGTGTGTCTCTCACTGTCTTATGCCGCTGATGGTTTCATTATAAATGGCACCTATATAAATTCTAAGAAAAAGCCCCAAATTTTGAGATGGTGATCTAAAATTTTGGTAATCAAAAACTAGTTCAAAACTTAATGGTTGATGCTGTCTAGGCAGGGGTTAGGGCAACCTGGAGGACCATTCTTTGTCTTCTGAATTTGTTGTAGGGACTTCATAGTCAAAATATTCAAAAGCCCCACAAACATTTCTATTGAAATAAATAACATACAGAGCACTGCGCAGCTCAGTGATACACAGCTCAAGGAAAAGTTATAAAATGCAAAACATTTCCAAAGTGAATGCATGCGCACAACTATCAGGCAGAAGCATCCAGAAGGTTTCCCTTTGGACCAGTTACTCCTCTACCCTCAAGAGTGATGTCTACTTTGACTTCTAACAGCACAGATTTGTTTGCCCATTTCAAATTTTATGTAGCAGGAATTATTTGCAGCATTCTATAGTATGTCTGGTTCTTTGGTTCAGCATCATGGTTGTGAGATTGCCCCATGCACTTGTGTGTAGGTGTGGGCCCTCCATTTGTATTGCTACAGAGGGCTCCCTGTACAAATGTTCCACAACATCTTCACCTATTCTGCTATTGATAGACAGTTGGGGAGTTTCCAGTTTTTAGCCAGTATGCCCATGCTGTTATTCACATTCTAGGGTGTGTCTTTCAGTGAACATATGTCCTTATTCCTCCTGGTTACATACTCAGGAGTTCCAATGCAGAATCACTGGTATTCAAATGATCAATATTGGTAGAAATGGCCATATGGTTTTCCAAAGCAGTTGTATTAAATCACACTCCACTCAATAGAGTAGGAACTTCAAAAGTGGTTTCAGACCCATGTCAGTGTCCTGGGCAAATTTTTAAACTTCTCTTAGCCTGTGTGTTTTCCTCTGTGAAGGGGGACTTCTATAAGGACTCAGAAGAAGGTTTACCCTGTAAGGACTTTATCAGTGAGAGCTTGCTCTTTCCCAGAAAATCTTGGGGTCTTTAGAAATCTTTTTAGGTAACATGTATGATGAAACTCAACAAGTTACATGTAGGGCCACCTTGCCCTGTGCTGTCTTCTTGTATGACTGGCTGTATTCATGCACATGGGACTACTTCTTTTTAATTTAAGTAACATTGTTTTATAACATTATGTAAGTTTCAGGTATGCATCATTACAAATGAACATGTGTATATACTACATAAGTTCACCACTAAAGCTTAAATTTATCCTTTACCATACAGCTGATCATTTTTATCCAACTTGCCCTCACCCTTTCCCCTTCACTTTTGCTAACCATTAAATTGGACTTATAGTTGAAAAAAAAAAAAAAACTTAATGGTTGAATTTGAAGCATGCATACCTTATGGTTATAATATTGGGTATCAATACTTTATATTTCACTGTCTTTATTTTAAAAAGGAAGGACTCAGTATTGAGGAAAAAAAGAGTAATTTGACTTAGTCTACATCAGAAAAGATGTTTGCATTTTGATGATTATACCTAAACTTCTCTTGATAAAATGCTTTTCTAGGAAAAGCCCCAAGTGACTTCTTTCTTTCCCCTTGTACTAGCAAAATTTAAAGATGACGCCTATAGCCGAAAAGGGCAAGTTACTTAGCAGTACTGAGTTCCTCACAGGTATTTAGAAAATGTATATGAGACTTTCTTTCCCCTTGTCCTAGCAAAATTTAAAGATGAAGCCTATAGCCAAAAAGGGCAAGTTACTTAGCAGTACTGAGTTCCTCACAGGTATTTAGAAAATGTATATGAGATTAAGTCTCTGATGTTTCTTGTTTTTCATCAATCTGTCTAGTACTTGCCTAAGAAAGAAACTTGGCTTATGGGACTATTACAATTATCAACTCTGGAATTAATTTAAAATTACAGCCCTGGGCCTCCCCTAGTGGCGCAGGCAGTTGAGCGCCATGCTGTGGGGCTGTCCACAGCCTCTGCAGTGCTAGTTCGATCCCGGCTGGCCGCTGAGGGTCCCACATGATGCAGCAGACCTCTCCTGTTGCGCCCACTGCTCCCCTCTGCGGGAGCCATGCTACTCATGTTGTCTTATTGTAGAGCAACCCCGATACAAAACAGGTTAATAAAAGGTTCATTCACAAGGGAAGGGGAAATGAGGAAATGCACAGCTTAGAGAGAAAAGTGGGAGACAAAGTTTTAAATGAGTCCTACCCGATCCGCAGATCAGAAATCCCAAAATGGCGCTCTGAGAGCTGGCCGCAAGCCAGGAGCCCTGGAGCCAGGAGGCGAGAGATAGCAAGCCCCCCAAGGCCCACGTGTTTGGTTTTTATATCCAACCTGGCTGCCCAACTCCACCCTCAGGTCCCAGCCACCCTCCCTTTGGTGGTGACGGGATTTGTCTTTCCCAATGTCTTGATGGCTTTAGTCTGGAGTGGGGGTGGGGTCCACAAAGTCTGTATGGGATTAGCTCAGGACATCATTTCCCCCTAACAGTCTGACAAGGGTCCAGGCATGGGGCAGATTCCTGAAAAGTCAGGAATCTCATTCGCCGACTCCTGCTAGATTCTCCTCATTTGTTTATGGCTAGTTTCTACCATTGTTAAAATACTCATTTAAAAGTAAAACTGCTAATACTGTATTACTAAATAACCAATTTGATGGCAAATGGCACTGCGTGATACAAATATTTTTTATAAAATTAGTAGTTCTCTGCCAAAAGGCAGTAATTCAAAATTCGGCCTTACATTAACAAGTGAAAAAACTTCTGGGAACAAAAGGCTATAAATATCCCTTGGCCAAGTCTTTAATATGGATATGTGGTCTTTTGAGGCAAGGGCTAAATGGAGAAGGAAATTCTTTTACTTTAAAGTTAAAGATAGGGGGTTGCAAAGCTGCTCGCGGTCTCTGTGGCGCTGGTTCAATCCCTGGCTGCTCCCCGGCCACCAGAGGAGGGTCCCACTTGGCCTGCAGACCTCTCCTGCCGCCCGCTGCTCCCCTCAGCAGTGTACTTCGGTCCTTCTGCCTGCTCTGCTCCCCGCTCTGGCTCTGGTGAATTCTCTCACCCTCCCGCGCTTCTGACTGTACCCAGTGCATGTATAAACAAAACAAACAAACAAACAAATAAAACATGCCTCTATTAAAAAAAATTAAAAAAAAAATAAAAATAAAGTTAAAGATAGCATTTGGGTGGCAGATGCAAGCCATGCTCCAAGTATAAGAAATTTCCTCATAAGCCAGGAGGCACCGTAGTCGGCTCCTGCTAAATTCTTCCTGTTTGCTTAGGGCTGATTCCCCTGGAGGTGACAATTGGTAGAGTAGCCCTGAGAGTATGCATTCCAGAATAAGTCAACAGCAATTTTGTGACTGATTGAGTTGATAACCATGGCAGCACAAATAATGCACTTGGAAATAGTCAGTGTTACAACTACTGATATGTGACGTATTAACGATTCTGAGAACCAAAAGCTATAACCAACCCTGGCCCTGCCCCTGATGAAATGTGTGTAGTTCTTTTAAACAACAATCAACAATTTTACAGAAAAATAAATTTTCCCTTGATCTTAAAATTAGATACGGAAACTAGGCTGACGAGATAAGTATAGGAGTAACAGGTAGAAAAACTCTTCTGTTAGATTAGGAAAATTCCTCCCTTAATTGAGAGCTTGGGGCTGGGGAAGAGTCAGTGCATCTTCCCTCCCCCAGGTAACTTCCTGTCCATTTTTTCCCCTAACCTGGTTAATCCTTCACTATGGCAAACATAGAAATGTTAGTTTCAGTCACATAAGTTTTTTGCTAGTAATAAAATGACTGTTTAAGGTGAATGACTATTCTAAGAACACTTTTGTTCAGCAACTGTGCCTTCTTTAAAACAAAGAATAATACAGCGAAATAAGCCAGAAAGAAAAAGAAAAATACCGGATGGTCTCACTCATAGCAGGAATTTAGAAAACATAAATAAGGGACCAGGAAAAAGACTAATTAATACAAAGTAAAAATCAAAATCAACAAGCAACTATAAACCAGAGACACACTACGGGAGTTGGGGGGGGAGGAGAGAGGCAGGGAGAGGAAGGACTAGAGTCAAAATAAGGGGGGGGGCAATTGTATGGGGAATATAACCAAAATGAAAATGCATACATTGTGCCAAGATGAAAAATGATCTAAGTATTACATATATATATATATATATATATATATATATATATATATGATCTTTTATGTTTTGTGTTGATGTGGTGGATGGCAGAACCTATTCAGAGCAGGCAGGTTTGGGGACTCTGGGGGGCCCTTTCCCTGCCCTGTAACACCAGCACAAAGGAATGATAGCATAACAGCTCTCACAATGTCTTATAAATTAAAAATTAAAAACTAGGATGTCATAACTCTAAATTAAATAAAGTGAATTGTGTTAAAGAATGTATTTGAAATGGGTATATTGAAGGTACTGGGAAACATTTAGTGTTAAAATGGCTCTCTTTAAAAAGAAATGTTATAAAAATAGGAAGGCAAAAGAAAGTGTTGAAGGTCTGAGAGAGGTATCTGAAAAAAAAAGTTATGTGCTCAAATGACTTGCTATAGAAATATTTAAGTTTAGTATCAATATAGAGTACTTATGCAAAACCAAACTTTAATTTTCCTCTGTAATAACGACTCAAGTATTCTTAAACTGCTCTTGTTACAGGGCAGCCCCGATACAAAACGGGTTCCTGGCTGTGGGTTCCTGTCCTCACCCGCACAATTAAAAGGGACTTATTAATACTCCACTGCAGGCACACACAAAAGGTTAATAAAAGGTTTATTTACAAGGGAAGGGCAAATGAGGAAATGTACAATTCAGGGAGAAAATAGGGAAATAAAGTCTTAAATGTGTCCTACCTGATCCGCCAACCTGGAAACCCAATAGTACTATGAGAGCTGGCCGCAAGCCAAGAGCCCTGAAGCCAAAAAGCTCCCCCAAGACCAACATGTCTGGTTTTATCTCAAACCTGGCTGCTTATCTCCAC